GATTTTTGTATGTGATGAACAGCAGACGAGGCGAACCCCATAGTCACGAGGACCTGCTGTTTAGTGGTGGGAACCGGCAACCTAAGCCCCGCAGGACTTGGAGTGGCGAACCACATAAGGCTCCGGATAGGTTAGGCGCGGTAATGAATGGTATATTTTGTTAGCACTCTCTACGATCTTTCAAATGCACTTGGTTTGACAGAGATATATGATTCTGTTCCAGAGGTCTTGTCTACTGTTGGGTACGTCAAGGACAGACATTGTGGTAGTTCGCTTATTTGGTGACAACAAAGAGACGGAACGGAACTGGCAAGCAGCATGTGACTTGCTCGTCAATCTGAATAACAAGGACGCATACAATGCTGTCAAATAAACAGCGGCTCTGTTGCATATTCACTTGCCTCCGAAAGCCTCAATATGGTCGAGGGTGGGTGTCTAGGGTTGCGGCTAGTCACCCTTCCCTTGCACCTCGCGAAATGCTCCCATACAACCAACCGTCTCAAATAGCCTTTGCTGAGAAAGCCGTACTCACTGCCTTCTCGTGGCCGAGGTGTTTTGCCACCAAAGTGAGAGGACGAAAAGCCGACATCCGGAGCTATGACCGGATTGGTGGACCACTGGTAGTTCACCTAGGAGAGTTGGCTAAAAAATACCCTGATTCCAAACCAACCAAAAGGAGGTGTACTACCACACGCACACAACTTCCTGGTTAAGGCAGTGATCACCAGCTCGAATGGACATCCAGGTGCACTGGGCAGCTTGGACGTCTGATCCCGTCCGAAAGGCGTATGATCCGATGAATTGGACTGGAATGCAGCTTTCACACACCGCCCTGCTGCCTTGCGGGTCAGGCTTTGGCTGGCCGAAGGCTCCGGTTGTGGATTCCTCAAGAAAATTCACCTACCTTGGCCTGGACAACCGGGCAATATTCAGCCCACAAGCCAATCGTGAAACGTCTTTCTTTTTCATAAAGATTATTGTACTATGATTTGCTTGACACAGCGTCTGGCCTCAGACACGTGTGAAATATAATAATACTAAGATATTCACTTCAAAGCGATCGAAGTGAATACTGATTTCTTCCCATCTGTGAGGGAACATTCACTGATACGCGACCGTATAGTCCACGAATTTGAAGCTGTCTGAGTAGCGTTTATAAAAATCAGATTGTGTGATTAGATCCCACTGAACCTTGGGAATAAATAGGGAGCTATCAGGAAGGTTTTTAGATTGGTAATTAAAACCGCTGTCGGAAGAGAGATTAAGCTCTGTTTTTCTGAAAAAAAACAACGCCGTAAAATAATTGCGCATCAATCCACATGATGCATGCACACACATGGCACTACCAGTTCGCAAGTTTTCGTGACAAGACTGATAAGACGAATCAAGGATAAATCGACAGTCAGTTAGCCAGCCAGGCAGTCAGTTAGCCAGCCAGTCAGTCAGTTAGCCAGCCAGCCACCCACGTCAAAATCAATCGGTCAGTAAGGATCACGAAAACGGAATCAGACGCGTCATGTTGTGTTCCCAAGATCAACTGTATCAAACAAGATGCTGATGGCCAAAAATAGAAAGTCTGAAATGGATCCATTTGTGTTTCGACAACAGCAACACAAAAAAACAGGACGTGATACTTAGCTAAACCCACGCGTTCTGATTAACGGGGGTGGTTGAACCATTAGGTTGCCATAACAATAACACGTACAACTCCTTATCTCTTTTCTCATGAGTACAGTCAGGGTTAACTGTAGCGGTAGTACAATTGTAACGATATCAGATAGCATGGCAAAATGATGTCTTTTCCTTGTAGAACCGATCTCACGAGTTAGATTGCGATGGGCAAAGGGCGGATTAAAGTCAAACTATCTGAACGTATACTGCCGGGGGAGTTTGTTCCATAGATAGTCATCACAGATGTATGTGTGTGTGACCAATATTGGGGATTTGAGACAGTAGTGTATGGTACACTGATTAGAGAGAGAGAGAGAGACAAGACGTGTCGAAACTTAGTCAAACAATTCTCATTCCTGATTGATGTGTGTGTGAGAGAGAGAGAGTAATAGGATATCCGAGTGCGATTCAGTTCAGTTGGAACAGATGTTCTGATTTCCGGAAAAAAACATCGTGAGCAGGAGTAATGAATGAAAGTGCGCGGGCAAGTTTCGACACAAGGAATCAAACTTGTCCTTGTAACACATGATCGACCCCAATGGAGTACGACTTGAGATCAGTATCTCGTTAAAGGAACCTAACCTCGGTGGACTCTTCACGAAATGTTTGTGATAACTGACAAAGATCACCGGACAGCTGTTTCGCCCTGTTTGGGACTTGTCAGCTGTGAGTACTTTTTGTGTCTCTGTCAGGACTCGAACTGCGAACTTTCGGGTTGGGATTCAAAACCCTTACCCCTGAGCTACACGGTCGACGGTCATCACCTTGTGCGAATGGCTCAATCGTTTTTCGAGTAGCAAGCTTGGATTAGCCCATTCGATTGTTAGGAGGCACCAGGCGCCATGCGTGTAAATGCATGAACTTGTGGGGAATTAACGATCTCCCAAGGAGTGAAAACCACATTCAAGACCATCAGGAGTGCTTAGTGTCTCTTAACAATCGAATGGGCTAATTCAAGCTTGCTACTCTCACACTTCACGCAATGTTTATTGATTGCTTGTACTCTCAGTCTATCCTGGTGAGGTCTCCATAATCGCCTTCTCGAGTGTCGGCGGTGTTTACATTGAACTGAGAGCCAATCTGCGAGGGGTAAAGAAGCCGGGTTGTCGACCCAATAGCATTTGTCTCCTCCAGGAAAGTTAGCAAACACCGATTGCAAAAACTTCATAAACTGTCACCACTACTCCTGGCTATACGGACCTAAAAGTGGGGGCCCCATCTGAAAGGTTTATGATTGGATTAAAGGGACACCAGTTCCCATAGATCCGGTGCTCGAAGTAACATCCCACTGTGTCATAAATTAAAA